TTAATCCTATTCCTAATCAACTTTTTAACCTGAAAATTATATGTGACATCGCAAGGTTTTTTTTTTATACGTGACTTGACAAAGTTTTCAATAGGGTGCTAGTATTGCAGGGCATAGTCTTAATGTGAAGTTCTATTTAAATCTTTCTTAATCCTATTCTTATTCAACTTTTTAACCTGAAAATTATATGTGACGTGACAAGGTTTTTTTTTTTATATGTGACTTGACAAAGTTTTAAATAGGGTGTTAGTATGGCAGGGCATGGTCTTATAATGTGAAGTACTATTAATCTTTCTTAATCCTATTCTTATTCAACTTTTTAACCTGAAAATTATATGTGACATGACAAGGTTGGTACACAACAATCTATGATTACTTTTCTGTCTTTTATTATTAAGGGCACTACCAGATGGTGAATTTTACAGATTTCATGTCCTGAAACAGGCTCAGAGTCTTAAGGCCTTGATAGCATTCTAATTCTCACCCAAACTTCTCTAAAGTACCTCCCCAGGATATGAATCTGACTCCTTCAGTTTGTCTTCTTCCCTTCCCCTCACCTTAAGTTTCAAATTACATTCCTCCTTTGCATATTGATAATTTCAGTAGTTACAGATTAAGCTAGCACGTTGTTATTTGTTAGTTGTAGCCTTCTTTACCCAGTTCAGGTGCTTGCAACTTTGATCACATCTTCTCGAGAGTTTTTTGGATTTATGATTTTTTTTCTTTTGGTAGATGGGCTCATCAAGTCACATCACTGTTTCGAAACATTGCAGTGAACATTTGGTGGACACCGCTCAACAGATTTAATTCAACAGACTGTGCAGGTGAAAACAAAAGTTCTGTAAACTCCTGTGATGAACATGTTGCCAAAAAGAATAAGTGTTTTGCTTGTTTGTGCTACTTTTGGAAGAGAATGCTTACAGATTAAAATATCAGAATAATTGTGAACCAAAGAAAAATACAAAAAACTTGGTACCTGTGAGCAATTTACAAAATGGCTTAGCTTTGATGTGGGATAGCTATTGCCCATGTTTTCCTTTTTGATGCAAATGAAGGCCTAAGGCATATCTACCTAGTTATTAAAATTCATATATTTCACAAAACTATGACCTTTACAAATCTTTTCTGATTCTTTTCTTCAACAGCAGTAAATTCCAAAAATGAAGATTCATCTAAGGCAAAGTTAAGCAACTTTAAGTTCACAACAGGAGAGCATTTAAGGTATTTCACAACTGTTTCCCAAGAAGAGGGAAAACTCAGTCAGCAGAAGTGAGAACCAATCTACCACTTAAAAGATGATTTCTCTCAAATTGAACTATCATTGCAACAGTGTTTTTTTTTTTGCCCTTCCTGGTTTTAAAATGGTTCTGTTCAATGTTAAACATCCCAAGTGAGGAGAAAATCATTCTGTTATTGGTTATTGTCACCCCTGAGAGACGACAAGCATTCAGATCCATTTCATTTCAAATGGGAGTGCCTGCATGCCTCTTTACCAAGATATCATGAGTATATTGATTTTTTTTTTTTTACAAATAAATTTCATGTTGCCGTGAGTCTGTACAGTCATAGATCACAGATGACATCAAAAGGTGGTAAGAACAAAAAAAGTGGGACATGGTGTGCAACCGATTGTGTCTCTGATGTTTTTACCACATTTTAGAGTCTTCTGTGATCTATCAGTCAATGGATGCACAGCAACTAGAAATCTTTATGTTATAAATGATAAAAAAGCAGAATGTTGTCTATTGTGAGGTCCTCAGTATAATGCATCTCTCCTCCTAAAGATCAGGAGTTAGAACCAATCAAATTACGGAAGTTAGAACCAATCAAACTACGGAAGTTAGAACCAATCAAATTACGGGAGTTAGAACCAATCAAATTATGTATTTTTTAGCTTATTATGTAAACTGTATTATTATAGCAGATCTTTTACATTATTAATGGTAATGAAAAATAAAGAGTATCTGAGCACCCTGTCATGCCATAAAGGGGATAAAAAATTTGAGTCACAAAGTTGACAAATTTGAGCTGATTGCAACCTAAGTTAGCATTTCCTTAAGTTAGTCTGCCTCCACATTGCAGATTCATGGTTCTCAAAGTAATGAAAGAACACAATGGATCAATGACATACCATATGATCAATCCTTTAATTGTGGTAAGTACATACTGTTACCATTTGATTTTTTTTTTTTTGGTTCAGTGATTGGTTAAATCATCCAAACACCCTCTTGACCAGTCAGATCATATTAAAAAACTAAAATTTATATTTTTTCTTGGGTTCCCACTGACCCTTTGTTTTATTTCCATTTCTTTTGACTGGCCTTTGCAGTGGCTTGCAAACTTTGTCTTTTCATATTATGCCTTGTAACAACTGTTTTTATCATGCAGTGCCTAACTGAGCACATAAAGAATTTTTTTTTATTTCACGGACTTTAATCTTTTGATATTCCTCTAGGGAGAACATACTGGAGAAAGACTCATAACAAAAGAGGTAAGTCATAAAAATGGCTTCCAAAAGCTGAGCACTTTTGGACAATACACTATGATATCTGCAAAAGGACCATTTTGTATTTGGCATTTTGGTGATGAGGCTTTCGGGCAAAAAGTTGTTGACTTTTCTACACGTTTGCAAACTGTTAGAGAAATCTGAATCGCTCTATTGACCCTTGCACTCCCAGAAGTGATTAACATGAAACTTCTCCCCACAATATCCATACATTATCCTGATCTAACACCAAATTCTCATAATTAATTTACAAAGAAATGTGTAGCAGCTAGAGCTAAGAATTAACAATCAGATCATTGTAGATAAAGGGTTAACTTCCAATCTTCTCTATTGTATCATTCAGCGGTTTTCGTTACTTGATACAGACCAGGATGGTCACCTGACGGAGGATGACGTCATGTCCTTACCTGCCGACGTAGTAGATGAGGCGTTCGGAAAAACGTTGCCTGGAGAGGTAATGGTCTGAGAATAAGCTGGGAAGGAGATTCTGTTTTCTTATAACGTTCTCGTTACGGCTGTGAAAAAAAATTTCTCTCCCTTTAGGTCCTTGCCACGAAATTCAGGACTCTTTGAAACGGCGAGGCTCGCATCTCTCCTGTCTGAACACGAGAATATTAGGCTATATACTAGACAAAAGAAATTAGGATTCCAGTACGTCCTCATGGTGAACTGTTCTCGAGACTGCAATTCAGGGACCGCGGAGGGGGAGGGGCTGGTAGGGCCGCCGCCCCACCACTTTTTTGCGCCCCCGCCCCCACTTTTTGCGCTAAAAAGAAAAATAATTACTATGATTTTATTCCTTTTTTCGATTTTCAATATGAAAAAATTATTTTCGATTGTCAGCCCTCTCACTTTACACCTTGCTCCGCGGTTCCTGTGCATTATTCGTATTTATTACACGACTCGGGCAGTCAGAGGCCCAATAACTAAAATCAACCAATCAAAATGCTCTATTGCCGGTCAATATTCTCTCAGTATTGGACCGGGCACTGCCCCGAATGGTCCCGAATGATACCGCACTTGTGTCCCTTTGAACTTCAGTCGTATAATAAATCTCT